TCCATTGAGTTTTACTACAAAATGGAAAACTTAAGATTCAAATATAGGCGGCTTTGGCGCAGAAATACAATTTGGTTTTGGACGGAAGACTATATTTGCCTTGGATTTAGGTTTTGGGTACTCCTGGAAAAATATTCAGAACGTCACCACTTTTTAGAAGTCGTATAAGCCATGTCAAGCGCGTGCTGTAGAGTCTAATTCATTACACTGCAACCCCGCTCTTTCCGGCCCGGGAATTGAACCCTTGACCTCCCGGTTCTGAAGTGAACAGCATTCCACTGCCCCATAGGTTCGGTTTTCTGAGAACCCTTGGGGCAGCGCTATACTCGTACTCGTTCTAATATGGAACATACACTAGTAAGCTTACTCTAAGCAAAGAGCTACGGTAGCCCCGCTGCAGGCGCTCTTTGGATGAACGTTTGGGAATTCTCTGATCAGCAACATGGTCGTCTACATCACATGGTACACTGCTTTCTAAGTCGAGCGACGAGGTCGTCGTTCTTGGCTTTTGGAGGACCAGTTCTTTTTCGGTTGATATCTCTTCAGGTTGCTGGCGTATACAGAATGGCACGAGTGCTGTGTACAATTGGGACGTGGGCACGCCGATGATGCATTGACGTTCCGAGAGGTCAGTGTCAGGGATACGGTCTTTCAATGTGGTCGCGATCCTATAGTCGATTGTGGAGGAGGCTTCTCCATTTGCGTCCTTCAGCCTGCGTAGTTTGAGGCGGCACCAACAGGTCGGTACACAGTCGGGACTAAACGTGTGCTCAGGAAACCTTATTCGTCGGTGTCCTGAGCTGCATTGGCTTTTTCGTCTCCTCTCCCCAATTTTGGCCAGCTGAGCCAACATTTACGTCCAGTTCGCCAACTTCCATTTTTTCGGCGGTATACAGTACTTGGAGCGATAGGGATGGCAGGATGAAGGTCGCAAGAGTGCAACAGCCAGCGCTGTCGGCGCCTTGTTCGAAACAGATGATGTTTGTTTGGCGAGCTTTGAACCTCTAGTTGGCTAGGTGGTCAGCGTGCTGGTTGGCCAGGTGGTTCGCGTGCTGGTTGGCGCTTCTGTCAATGTGCTTGAGCTTTTGGCTGATAAATCGTCGACTTAGTTCTTCGCCATTTTGTAGCTGGCGCGGACACGGGGTTTTATAGCCGAAAATTCCACGGATTCGCGCGTATTAAT